GCGCAGGGTGAGTCCGTCCAGGCCCAAGAGAGGGACCACGCTGGCCACGCAGGTGCTGAGAGGAGGGTCCTCGGGCGTCCTGGACAGGCAGTGGCCCTGTGGAAGCCCGCCCAGTGGCCAGCAGGAGCCCGTTCCAAGAGAGGACGGCCCCGGCCAGGCCTCCACGGCAGGAGAGGTGTCGATCTAGAACCAGAGACAGACGAGTTACAGCCCATCGGGGCGGGTTAAAGCCAGGCAAGAGCGATACGTCTTGTCACCTCTTACTCACCTGGGACCCTGTCCAATCGCTACCAAGACAACGCGCCACTGGCCATCTGGAAAGGAAGGTTATAATTAGTTCTCCATGAACAGACACTGCAAGAAAAATCGGCATTAACAGAACACTGACACCCCCACCAAAACCATCCTGTTAGAAATGACTCACACAGGAATCGCAATTAATTAATTTCGAAATCTGAAATATGTGATTAAGATCTTAAAAGGATTTTTTTTTCCTTTAGGGAGGCACACTAACCTAGCAGACCATTCTTTCTTTTCTTTTTTTTTTTTTTTCTGGTAGAGACGGGATCTCACTATGTAGCCCAGGCTGGTCTCAAACTCCTGGCATCGGCCGTCCTCCCACCTCGGCCTCCCAAAGTGCTGGGATGACGAGCGTGAGCCACCGTGCCCGGCCAGCAGAGCTTTCTTTCAGTAACAACCCCAGGGCTTTAGGAACAGGAAAGGGAGCTCATTTCCCGCCCGCTCTCTGTGGGGCCCAGCCAGGGCAGGGGCCTTCCGAGTGGGGGGACGGCCAGAAACACGGGATGGCCCGGCCACCACCACTCAGCCTCAGATGTCTTCACACCAGAGGAAAAAAATTCCTCAAAGAAATTTCAGAGAAATATTTTAGTTTAGATATGAAAACCGATTTAACTCCACACAACACGTTGCTATGGAAGCGAAGCCATCATTTTTGGCGTGGGGAATCGGGGGCCGGGGACCGCGGGGACGGAGGCTCCTTCTAGGCGCTTCTGGGACGCGGCCAAGAGCACGCGGGGGTCCCGGGCCCTACGCCCCCTGGAGCGTGTGGCCGGGCTGTGCAGACGCGGCCGGCCGCCCTCGCGTCTTACCTAGGCTGGGGACGCAGCGCCGGCGCCCTGGGCTGGTCCGGCGGCTCTGAAGGGAGGAGGGTGGAGGGGCTCCGGCTCCGCGGTCAGCGCCCTGGGAACACAGGAAAGGAGTCTCACCCATGGGACGGACGCCGGCCGGCGAGGTCGGCAGCTCCAGGTCACGGTCCGTCTTCCTGCGGGGAGCCGCGGGTGCGTGGCGGTGTCGCCCCGGCTCTGCTGGGGCGTCCTCCAGCGCTTTTCCGGCCCGGCCGCCCGGACACCAGGGTCTCTGCAGAGGCGTGTCTGGGGCGGGGTCTCGCCCAGGAGCAAAGCGGCTTCAGCAGAGGGTCCCCGCACAGCGGGTCGGGGCGCACACGCCTGGAACTTGGAGCCGACCTTCTGACGGGCGCGTGGAGGCCCGGTGTTCGTCTGGGCGGGCAACGACGTGTCCACCAAACGCCCTCCGGCCTGAAACGGTTCCAAATTCCAGCATCCATCCAGAATCAAGCGGAAGTCCTTGATTCGTTTATCGGACGCCGCAGAGAAACTGGGTTTCCACCGCAGCCCAGACAAAATGGAGCCGCGGGGCCCTGTGCCGATGCCTGCCAGACGTCTGGGTGGCCTCGCCGGGGCCGGGTCACGGCCGGCTGCTCCCACGGCCCCTCGGCCGACGGCGCCGACATCCGCCGCGGCACAGCGGGTCCTTCCCGGAGGGGCCAGGGAGCCGGCCTCTCTTCCACGTTGGGCAGCACGGCTCCGCCCAGGGCCGCCCGCGGAGCCCTCGATTCTCCTTCAGAAATGGTGACACTCGGGGCGGGACTTCTCACGCGTCTGGTGGCCACACGGCGCCACGCTCGTCAGGGGCGGCCCCACGCCGGGGTCGCCTGGTTTATCTCGGGCGGCGGCCTGGGCGCAGCGCGGCCTTCTCCGCGGGCGGGGGACGGGGGGCGCACGTGCGTCAAGGCCCCGGAAGGGTCACGTGCCCCACACGCGGCAGCCGCGTCCTGAGCGGGAGCCACACGCCTCGGTGTCCCCTGGGGCGCGGTGGCTGCCGATGGGGGGAGGGGCACGCCGGCCACGGCTGAGAAGGCGGCGGAGTCAAGGAGAATCTCGTTAAGCCGAATCAGGAGGAAAGGCACAAAGCGTCCCCCCCCTGCAAAGAACGCGTTTAGAGGACTGACGAGCGAGCAACCGGACCACCATCTGTGGAAGTCCGTAGCCAAGCCAACATCATCAGTCCTATGAAAACAAGGAACTATTTCGGTTTTTCCAGAATGTTCCGGAACCATCCCCAAAGGCCGCTCTGTCTTGTTGGTGCATCGCCTGCGTGTTTGACGTTTCTCTGAATCAGAACCCCGTTCTCTCTGCCCTCCCGCTCTCGTGCAGAACCGCCGTGACCGGACTCGTTCACGTGACCACCTGCGCCGGGTCCCAGGGAGCGTGGGGGCGGAGCTGGGACCCCACCCAGCCCCCACGGCGGCGCCGCCGCCAAACCCCGAGCCGGGGCGCGCTGGCGTCTCCCTCCTGGTTCCCCAACGGCGTGCCACGTCCCTGCAATGTGTGCGTGACTGCACCCCGGTCACCCCAACGCAAGACTCCGCTCTGGGGAAGGTTCATCACCCACGACCAGCGCGCGGAGGCCGCCAGTCAGGACACTGGCGCAGCGCAGACACTGGCCAGCCCGGCCCCGCAGCCCCTCCGCTCCAGACAGAAGCGTGGGAGGGAGGCTGGGGAGCGAGGCCCTGGCCGGGTGTGAGGCTGTTCTGGGCGCACAGCGCAACCAAACGTTCTAGGGGAGGACAGGGATCGCGACAGCCCCTACCCGGCGGGACCAGAACGCAGGACCCAGAGGAGGACGGGGGAGAAGCCACAGGGGCAGGGGAAGCAGGAGCGGAGGTTTCACCTCCTGGACCCCCACGCGGGGCGGGGGTGAAATCTGCAGCTCTGGGCTGATCGCGCCCTCCCCATCCCAGACTCACCGCACAAACGCCAGATCATAGATCATTTCCCCCCATCCCACGGCCGCCCTCAGGGACAGAGGCGTCCCGGTCAGTCCTAGGCACCACACGGCGGGTCGCTGTGACAGCCCCGCCTGCGAGAAGCTTATCACGCTGCGTAGGAGCCTCAGACTGGAGCAGATGCCAAAAAAACCCGCAGCACGAGACAGCAGTCGGAGCGGGGTCAGGACGCGCAGTCTGCCCGACCCTCTCGGCCGGGCCGGGCCTCCACCGCGTCCCCCGGCCCGTCCCGGCCCCCACAGCCCGGCCCGTCCCGCTCCGGCCGAGACCCGCCCTCGGACCCCTGTGCTTGCGAGCCCCGGAGCCCCGAGTGCCCGGACCTGCCCGAGTTGCCCCGACACCCTGGGGTCGCGGCGAACCCACAACCTCTGCCCACAAGCGCGTTTTTGCATTTGCGAAGGGACAGAGGCTAACGCCGGGGCAAGCGCCACGCACGCTCCCCTCTCCCGCGCCCTGTGTCGTAGAGACGCCGTGTGGTTTTAGATTCGCAGCTGTGCAAGTGTTTTAAGAAGGCGTTTAGACGCGTGCCCAGTGCCGGGCAACGCGTCCCCGTCCCGTCACCAGGCAACGGCTTTCGACTCCGCACGAGGAAATGAAGAGGAGGCGCGCTTGGTTTCCGCCGCGGTCTTTATTAGCCACAGACAGTCGCGGGCGTCTCCACTCGCGCCGGCACAGAGACGCAAGAGAACATCTCAGGGCTCGAGCAAACAAAGTTGTCAGAACGCAGCGTAAAGATCAGAACAGAGGCGCGCTTCCCCGCCCCCAGCGTCACGGGCGACTGCAGTCTTCGCAGGGGCGCCGCGTCCACACCGCTCAGCGCACGCTGGGCGCGGGACCACCGGAATGGGGCGCCCCCCGCCGTGGGGACCAGCGGGGACCCTCCCACACCCCCGCGACGCGCCCGGTGCCAGAGCCGCGGCTGGGCCCTGGGGGGCCACGCAGCTTTCAACTGCGAGAGCCGAACACGCCCGTGTCCCGGGCAGGGAAGTCTCGGGTGACGGCGGCTGGGCAGGGGCTGCACCTCCAGCAGCTCTTGGAATTCGGCTGGAGATAGTCACGTTTTATGTACAAGATCCAACTCCTTTTTAAAAACTCCTACGTGACCGGCGTTCTCCATGGAAACCAAGCAATGACACACACCCCGACTCCCGCTCACAGGGCTTTCCTGCCCGTCCCCCCCTCCACGCGGAAGGAATCGTGGCCTGTAGGCAGGACGCCACGACCGGCTGGGGGAGCCGTGCAGCCCCCGGCACACAGAGACCCCGCCCCGGCACACAGACCCCGCCCCCGGCACACACAGACCCCGCCCCCGGCACACAGAGACCCCGCCCCCGGCACACAGACCCCGCCCCGGCACACAGACCCCGCCCCCGGCACACAGACCCTGCCCCCGGCACACAGACCCTGCCCCCGGCACACAGAGACCCCGCCCCAGCACACAGACCCTGCCCCCGGCACACACAGACCCCGCCCCCGGCGCACAGAGACCCCGCCCCCTGCCCCCAAGACCCAGCGGGGCTCGGGGTCCACGTCTGCTCACTCCCCGTGTGCACACTCGAGCCAGACGGGCTCCGGGTTGAGACCCTTAAATCCGAGCATGAGACACCCCCGCGAGCCCTCGCTGCCCCCTTCCCGTCGCCCTGACAACCGGTCGCCCTGACGACCGGTCGCCGCCCACTCTGTGCAGCCGCAGCCCGGCAGGCCCCAGGGGACCCGAGAGGCCCGTCCAGGCTGTGCCGAGGCCTCACCACGCCCGAAACCCGGAGGTCAGAGGTGCTGCCGCCCGGAGCCGACGGCCTGCGGGGACGACCCCACCGACCTCGGTCTCACCGCGCAGCTCTGGGCGACCCGAGCGAGCCAGAGCAGAGCGCCACGGGGGCGGGGCCGCACTTACGGGACAGCGCGTGGGCGCCCTTGGGCAGGTACTCGAACAGCAGGGAGCCGTCGTCCCCCAGCACGTCCGCCTTGAGGGACAGCAGGCTGTTCTTGCTCATGAGCGCCGCGCGCAGGTTGGCCACCGCGGTCGCCTGGTGCAGCGCGTCGTCCTTCTCGGGGGTGAGGGGCGGGCCCAGGTAGCCGGCTTCCCCGCCCAGCAGGCCGTCCTCCACGTGCGCGAACAGCTCCGCCCGCTCCCCGCGGCTGTCCGAGCCGCCGGCTTCCGCGAGGGCCAGGTCCGCACCTGGGGGCAGGGGACACACGTTAGAGACACACGGGTGGGCGCGAGACGCTCCAGGGGGAAGCGTGGGGGGTTTGGGGGGAGGAGGCCGCGGGGCCCAACCTAGCTCCCACCAGGGCCAGGGCCCCAACCCAGCCCATCTGCCTGGTCCGCCCGTCCGTCCTGCCAGCCCAGGTCGCGACCCCCCTCGGCCTGCACAGTGGTGGCCCAGGTCTCAGGGGCAGCTGGACTCTGATGGACGGGGGCCACCCCGGCCCCGCCTGGGGTCAGACCTGGCTCCGGGCTCTGCTCCAGGGCCCAGGGCGTGAGTCGGGCTCTCGGGGCTGTGGTACTTCTGCCCTTCCAAGAGGAAGAAAGACTCAAGATGCATCAGTGACCCAAACGTGAGAGCTAAAACTGTTAAACGCTTAGGAGAAACTGTGTGACCCCAGATTTGGTGACAGGGTCTTAGACACAACACCAAAAGCACAAGCAACAAGACAGGTAAATTGGACTTCTCCAAAATTAAAGACTTCTGTGCCTCAAAGGCCACTACCGAGAAAGCGAGAAGACAGCACACAGAACGGGAAAAGCAGATCTGCAGGTCCCAAGCGTGAGAATGAAAACACACGGTGGGACCCGATTTGAAATGGGTGAGAACATCTGACTAGACATTTGCCCAAAGAACACACAGAAGTGGCCAATGGGTGCACGAGAAGATGGTCACTCATCACCAGGGAAGAGCCCAGCAAACCACCAGGAGAGTCCACCTCCCTCCGACCCAATGGCTGGAATGAAAAGTTAGATAACACGCCCAGCGCGGTGGCTCACGCCTGTGATCCCAGCACTCTGGGAGGCCGAGGCGGGAGGATCGCTTGAGCTTAGGAGTTCCAGACCGGCCTAAGCAAGAGCGAGACCCCGTCTCTACTATAAATAGGGAAATTAGCCGGACATGGTGGCGCATGCCTGTAGTCCCAGCTACTCGGGAGGCTGAGGCAGGAGGATCGCCTGAGCCCAGGAGTGTGAGGTTGCTGTGAGCTAGGCTGACACCACGGCACTCTGCCCAGGGTGACAGAACGAGACTGTCTCAAAAAAAAAAAAAGTTGCACAGTAACACTGGCGAGGATGACGCTGCTGGTCGGAGTGCCAACTGCTGCCCCCGTGGGGAGGTGGGCAGTCCCTCCAGACGTGAAGTGCAGAGTTGCCAGGGCCCAGCTACCCCACTTGCAGGCGCACGCCCAAGAGAAACGAGAACACGCGTTCACACGGCGGCAGCTGGCGTGTGGACGTTCACGCAACACCATGCACAGCCCTCCATCTCCCGCAGAAAGGCAGACACGCGTGGCCGGCTGTGCGGTGCAGGATCTTCCGGCCACGAAGAGGAACGGCGCTCCAACACAGACCGCGTCGTGGACGGACTTGGAAATCGACGAGCTCGGTGACGCCAGACGTGAAAGGCCACAGGTCACGTGAAAGGCCACAGGTCACGTGAAAGGCCACAGGTCACGTCGTTTCCTTTCTTTTTTTTTTTTGCCTAGGCTACAGTGAGTGCTGTGGCGTCAGCCTAGCTCACAGCAACCTCAAACTCCTGGGCTCAAGCGATCCTCCTGCCTCAGCCTCCCGAGTAGCTGGGACTACAGGCATGCGCCACCATGCCCGGCTAATTTTTTCTATATATTTTTAGTTGGCCAATTAATTTCTTTCTATTTTTAGTAGAGATGGGGTCTCGCTCTTGCTCAGGCTGGTCTCGAACTCCTGACCTTGAATGATCCTCTGGCTTGACCTCCCAGAGTGCCAGGATTAGAGGTGTGAGCCACGGCGCCCCAGCCTAACTTTTTTTTTGAGATGGGGTCTGGCTCTGTCGCCCAGGCTGCAGTGCAGTGGCCCAATCACAGTTCATTGCAGCCTCGATCTCCTGGGATCTTCCTGAGGCGGGAAGTGATCCTCCCGGGTAACTTGGACTATAGGCTTGTGCCACCGCAAAATTGCTACCTTTTCAATGGGTATTGTGTTAATAATTTTTAAAAAGTCCTGATACCCAGAAGTGTGATTGCTGGATCACACAATAATTTTATATTTTTAATTTTTTTTTACATTGCCACACTGTTTTCCACAGACGCCGCACATTCTGCGTTCCGAGCCGCACACACAGGGCTCTGCTTCTCCACGTCCTCCCAGCACTCGGCGCTTCCCCAGCGGGTGTGAGGCGGTGTCTCCCGCACTTTGACTGCATCTCTCATTATTAACAACGTTGAGCTGCTCACTGGCATTTGTACGTCTTTGGAGAAATGTCTGTCCAGTCCTTTGCCCACTTCTGAATAGGGTTGTTTCTTTGCTTGCTGTTGAGTTTTAGGAGTTCCCTATGTATTCTGGGTTTCAATCCCTTGTCCCATAAGTGGTTTGGAAGCATTTTCTCGCAGGAAGAGGGTGAATTTTCAACTGTGGTCCTTGACAGGCATCAGGATCAGAACCACAGGGACAGGGACCAGAACCATAGGGACAGGGACAGGGGTCAGAGCCACAGGGACAGGGACAGGGGTCAGAACCACAGGGACAGGGACAGGGGTCAGAGCCACAGGGACAGGGGTCAGAACCACAGGGACAGGGACCAGAACCACAGGGACAGGGGTCAGAGCCACAGGGACAGGGACCAGAACCACAGGGACAGGGGTCAGAGCCACAGGGACAGGGACCAGAACCACAGGGACAGGGACAGGGGTCAGAGCCACAGGGACAGGGACAGGGGTCAGAGCCACAGGGACAGGGATCAGAACCACAGGGACAGGGACCAGAGCCACAGGGACAGGGACAGGGATCAGAACCACAGGGACAGGGGTCAGAACCACAGGGACAGGGACCAGAACCACAGGGACAGGGACAGGGGTCAGAACCACAGGGACAGGGACCAGAAACACAGGGACAGGGACAGGGGTCAGAACCACAGGGACAAAGGGCATGAAGCCAGGGAGGAGGACAGGCGACGTGGAGCCGGAGCAGAGACACCCTCGGGCCACTGGCCGCCGTCTGCAACGCCGCTGGAACAGAAATGCACAGGCCGTTCGTGAACATTCTTCGGAGCGGTGCCACGAGGGCCCAGCGGCTCGGGCCGGCCTCCCTGGGAAGGGCTCACCCGCAGAGCAGCTCAGAGGGAGCCCCGAGGGGCACTGGGGCCCAAGCCGGGCTGGGAGGCCATGTGTGCCCCGACCCACGGGGCTGTCACCTCCTGGGGGCAGCTCGTCCTGCGTCCTTCTACCTGGACAGGCCTGACCTCAGGAGTGTGTGCAGCACCCTGCCAGGGGCAGTGACGCCCAGAGACACCCCGGGGGCTGTTCAGGCTGCTTCTCACGCCTTTTGGAGATGTCTGAAGGACATTCTCTATTTTCTCAAACTGTGTTCCATTTACTGTGTTTCTGTCAATCCCTCCATGGTGCATCATGTTAACGTTGCATTTCTAGCAACTAAATGTGCAGATTATGTCAAAATGTAAACTGAGGCCTTGCCTTAGTGGTTAGGGCTGCCGTAACCAACACCGCAGGCCGGGCGGCTCAGCCAGCACGGATCTGAGTTTGCGCACACTGGAGGCTGGAACGTACCAGAACGTGCTGGAATGTACCAGAAGGTGCCGGAACATGCCAGAGATCTGAGTGGGGAGAGGCCTCCCTGCCCGAGTGGCAAATGTGTCACCTCCACGTGAACTCTCCTGGCTTCTCCTCGGCCCTGGGAGCAGAGTGTGCATATGCAAGGTGTCACCTCTCACAAGGACACCAGCCCTGTCCGGTTGGGGCCACTCTTGTGACCTCATTTAACAGGAATGACCTCTCTGAAGGCCCATCTGCAAATACAACCGCACCCGGGTTCGGGCTTCAGCACAGGAATTCGGGGTAGGGGTGGGGGACACAAAAATCCATCTATAACAGGATTAAAACCAAAAAGCACCTGATTTTAAAACCATTTTTTAATTATTTTATTTTATTTTATTTTATTTTATTTTATTTTATTTTATTTTATTTTATTTTATTTTATTTTATAGACAGGGTCTCACTCTGTCACCCAGGCTGGAGTGCAGTGGCGTCATCATAGATCACGAACTCCTGGGCTCAAGCGACGCTCCTGCCTCAGCCTCCCAAAGCACTGGGATTAGAGGTGTGAGCCACCACACCTGGCCCCAAACCAAAATTTTAATATAGGTTATGTTAACAACGTAAGTTCAAAAGCATGTAAAAGAAATCAGGATCAGCCGGGCACGGTGGCTCACACCTGTAATCTTAACATTCCGGAGGCCGAGGCGGGAGGATCATTTGAGGTCGGGAGTTCGAGACCAGCCTGGGCAACACAGCAAGACCCTGTGTCTACAAAAGCTTTAAAAATTAGCCGGGGGGATGGTGGTGGTGGTGCCTGCAGTCCCAGCTACTAGGGACGCTGAGGCAGGAAGAGTTTGAGGCTGCAGTGAGCTATGATGACCCAGTCTCTAAAAAAAGAAAAGAAAAGAAAAGAAATGTAATTATGCGGAAAAAATGCTTACAGATGCACTTTGTCTAAAATTTTACTTCTCGCTTTACAAGTGTTTAAAATTTATTCCTTATTTCTAAAGTGCCACGCTTCTTATCCAAGCTAAAATCACGTTTCCTCATTTACTACAACCATCAAAAAGTTCCACATAAGAAATTCCCTTTAACGTCACATAGCTAGTTAGTTAGCTTTGTGTCGTTGTATAGTCAGTCAGGTAACTCGGTGGGTAGGAGACGGGCTTTTGGATGTCGACCCTGGAGCAACTGAACACCCCTGAGCAGGGGCGACCCCCGACCCTCTCCTGCCACATGCAAAAACCAACTCCACGCATGGATCTTTGATAAGATTTCTAGGAAAACACCACAGGAGAGTCTTTGTGACCACCTGCGAAGGTGCCTTAGATAGGACCCAAAGAGCATGAGCCGTAAAAGAGGAAACTTCACAAATGGGACTTGATCAAAATGTAAAACGTCTGCTCCTCAAAAGACAATTTTCAAGCTGGGGATGGTGGCGCA